TTTTTTTTTATGCTACCGCATAACTTTTTTTAAATCAATGGTGTTACCTCAGAGGTGGCCCACACTAATTTCTTTTAAATCCGATCATTGGATCATAAAGAAATTAACGATAATTGAAAATTGTTATACGAGAATGGAAGTCGGGTTTTTTCTTACAAATTACTTGTTTTAATATTGTTATTCAACCTTATTATCATTTTTTTTTTTTACTTTTTCAAGAAGCATATTCAACAATTTTTATTGAGCTCGAGGCCGTTTTATAATGGAAATTCATTGTGGAAAAGCAACAATAATTTGAAAAAATGGTAGAAGTGATAGCTATTTCGGAAATCATCACATTTCCTCATCAGACTTCTTTCAGTAGGATTCGAACCGACGATCCCACTGACTCAGCCAGTTGCCTACGCACTGTGCTAAATTCACCTTGTTAATTCTTGTTGCTTATTTCCTCTATTTCACGTGTTAAGCCAACTACAATCAAGCGCAGCTATTCCGCTGCAATTCACTTGATCATGTGGTTGTTGGTTTTGTTGGTTTTTGTTAATATTTCTATTATTAGAATGGTTAACTTTCAAGAAACAAAATTTTGCTGCTAATGAATCTGGTAGCATAATTTTAGTAAAATGTCATAAACTATTTAAAAGTCAAGTGGTTGGAAACAACAACGAATATCATTAAATGAAACTACTTTCTTTCATTTCATTTGGGGAATTACATTAAAAATAGGGGAATTTTTTCAGGAATTTCAGGGAATCAGCCCTAAGAGAGTTGGCATCCCTGGTTGCAAGCAACACGTACATTCCACTACATACTCCTCTCGCCGGCACTGTAGTGCACTCCAAATATGGTGAGCTGATTCAATACGGAACGGAGGTGCTCACAATTTATTATTTACATCAAATTATATGCAGGCACATTTATATAAGTACATACAAGCATATGTATGTACATACTTCATTATATTATATGATTAGTTGGCCATGCACGTTTATTTGTATGGCTCATTCCATCTCAAATCACCCAGGCCGGCGGAAAGTGAATTTAAGATTGCGATAAAACTCACAGGGATTGTTCCTTGAACAACGTATTTTTTCTTTTTGCTCAGAAATGCGAATTTTTCGAATAATGAATTTTTTTCTTTTTGAGTACGAACGCTTCTTTTTTCCTCTCTTAATAGCAACTTTTGATGAAATCGTTTATAACTGCCGCAAAAAAGCAAGAACTCTAACGAGTTTTTTTAATTGCAGATATTGATCTACTGAATCGATCTAGTGAACTAAACTTCAGTAATTGTTTATTAATAATTAATTATTGTTTATAAACAAAAAAAAATTTTTTTTTCAAATTGATTTTTTTCAAATTGCCACATCTTTTTTTTCTCTTAAACTTTTTTGTCTATTAGGGAATAGTATAAACTATTTTCAGTACGAGTAGCAATATGCTAAAATTCGTCGTTTTCGAGTTATGATTTTTTTTCTGAAAATGCACTTATATGATGCGAGCAGATTTTCGTGCCAGTTGAGGGCACAAAAATTGTTGCCCATTATGACAAAATTGCCTTGCTGGAAATTTTTTAAGGTTGCCTGATCAGACCCAAAAGTTTTTCCCAATTGGCCTCTAATTTTGGCCCAATTGGGGCCCAATTAGCGATTTGCCCAATCTACCGAAGATTTCCCCAACCAGTGCTCACAATTTGCTCAAAGTGAACATGCATACGCAATTAAAACGTTTTTATCGATAAAATCAAACATACACACATCAAAATTCCCTACGAAAAAAAATATTTTTTAATTTTTTTCTTGAAAAATTTTTCATATAAAAATTTTTTGATAAAAAAAATTAGTTTTTGAAAATATGCCATTTCAAAAAAATTGGAAAAAATCACAATGGTAGCTCTGAATATTGCGCAGTATTTAAGTATAATGTTATGGGGTGCACTCTACAATGATTCGAGTTATGATTTTTTTTTTACACCGAAGTTGAGTAAAATGAGTACATTACCAATTTACAAATTTTTTAAACTTTTTTAGAATTTTTTTTAATATGCAGTTTTGTAGCCCATTAAATTTGAGTATAATAAAGTGCAAGTGTTAAGC